TTTGAAAACCAAATGACTACAAAATAATATTATAAATGTTCCGTGGCCAAAAACGTTTGGGAAACGCTGCAGTAGGCAATGAAGAGAGCTGAGTGAAACTCACTGATTCTTTTGAACCCATTTAGTCTCCTATCAAATTTGTTCAGTTGCCAGTTTAGATCACATTTCCCCACGCCCGAAATGGCAGCACTGCAAGCTCAGCCTGAAAAGTAATCAGGATTCTTTCTGCTTCAGATATAAACAGCAGTAAGGATTCTGGAACTGAAATCTAGCTGGCAGTTCAATTGATGAGGAAGAATGGAAGTGGTCTTTGCACAGCTGCAGTGGTGAGAGTAGTAAAAATAAAATACTGATCACATAAGATTCACAGACTAACAAGGAGTATGTGAGCAATACTAACGTGCCTTTTTATTTTATTTGTTTACTTAAGGAATAGAGCTATATTTTGACTGAAGAACTCAAAGTGAGCAATTGTGTCTCAGCATTTAACTCCCCTCTCCCAACATGAAACTGGTCTTGGGAACAACCGTCTTGCCTGACAAATCAGAACAGCATTTAAAACTGAACTTCACATTACAGATGAACTTCCAGTAACGAAGCCAGACTTTCATGTACACTATTTTTACATGTTCTCCCATCAAGAATGCCAAGCAGCAGAATACCCCTATATTAATAGTGCTGTATGAGTTATCAGCATTATCAACTGTTAGAGAGTATTTCCTTTTCAAAATGTTAATCCAAGTTACCAAAAATAAATGTCATTCTACATTTATCCATGCCCCTGACAGAAGCATTCAGAACCCAAGTATGACTTAAATGAGGCTTTAGGGTGAAATTATTGAAAGCAGACACCATCTGTCCAACAGAGTAATTAAAATGATGTTAATTGAACCACAGTTTAAATCCCAGTGAATACACTATGCTTATTGAGTCTAATAAACACATGCTCATATTAAGCTTGTAATCAGAAATGTACATGCGGCAAAATATTTCAGTGTGAGAGATTCAACAAAAAGGCAACTGATAAGCTTGTCTCAAAGGCAAACAACCTTTTTTTTTCCTGTAAAGTGAAGAAAGAATGTCCAGTGTCTCCAACTCCGCTGAAGTTAATATTTAGAATCCTTACCTTACAAAGACTCAGCTGGAAATAAACACACAGAAATACTGCAGGTGTACACAATCTAACCTACCTACCCAAAGGTGGCGCTAACCGCAATAAGAAAAGGAGGACTTGTGGCAAATTTGTTAGTCTCTAAGGTGCCACAAGTCCTCCTTTTCTTTTTGCGGACACAGACTAACACGGCTGCTACTCTGCTAACTGCAATGATGCAAAGATAGCTGGTCCAGATGTAAACAGAAGAATGTTCTATATTGCCATTTTAGAGGTTTAAGCCCCACCAACCGAAGGCAATGTGGAAATGCAGATGGAATTATATTATAGATCAAAAAATCAAAGATCAAACTGTTACAGCAATACACATCCTTTTAAAACTATACAGCAGTCAGATCAGAGTTCAGATCTGGGCAATTTTACTTTGCCCCAAGTTGCAGAACTATGTTCCCTAGAGCAAGGAGATTATTTTAATTAAAGAGATGTGTTATATTTTATAGAAATGTCAGTTTCACAGCATATAAACAAATCTATAAATCCAAAGTGTACGAATTACAGGTCAAATCCTGCTTTGACTCATATACAGTAGAACCTCAGAGTTACAAACTGACCGGTCAACCACACACTTCATTTGGAACCGGAAGTACACAATCAGGCAGCTGCAGAGACGGGGGTGGAAAGCAAGTAGTGTTACAAGTAAAATACTAAAAAAAATAAAGTGAAAGTTTAAAAAAAGATTTGACAAGGTAAGGAAACTGTTTCTGTGCTTGTTCCATTTAAATTAAGATGGTTAAAAGTAGCATTTTTCTTCTGCACAAGTATCAAAGCTGTATTAAATCGATGTCCCGTTGTAAACCTTAGAAAGAACAGCCATAACATTTTGTTGAGAGTTACGAACATTTTAGAGTTACAAACAACCTCCATTCCCGAGGTGTTCATAACTTTGAGGTTCTACTAAATAACTCCCCCTGAAACTCCCTTTGGATTCCAATTGGATTGCCTTCAGTATACATCAGGGCAAGACTGGAATCTGGTCACATTAGCAAGGAAATACAAACTAAGTTCGGCTAGCACTCGCTGGCATAGCAGCATGTACCCTACTTTGGAAACAAACCACTCCTCTTTCCCAGCATACTCCACTCTGATAGAAGTGTTTTTAATCCCCCGCATCATGACAGGCCAGGATCTCAGTTTGCCAATACTACCTGTGTACACCCACAAACAGAAGGAAAAGCACAAGCCTTTAGGTAGAACAAAAGCTAACAAAAAAAGCTTACATTTAGAGCTGGGGGAAAGTTTAAGTACAAAACATTTTTTCATCAAACACACACAGATTTGGGTTGACCAAAACATTTAAAGAATTTGACAAATTGTTTCTGTAAAAAAAAAATCTGAAAAATAAAATGTTTTGTTTCAACATTTTTAAAACAAAATGTTTTAACTTTTTCATTTGAAACAACTGTTCATATGAATTGTACTTCAAATTTTTTAACAAAATCGAAAAGAGGCAAAACCACAAAAACAAAAGAAAAATATGTCCTTCCGGGTCAAACAAAATGTTATAATTTTTTACTTTTTCTTTTTGGTTTGGGCACTGAAGCCCGAGGGGGGAAGAGGAGAGAGATGTATATACACACAGCTCTACTTACAATACCTGGGCCCAACCCTATGGTCCTACAGAGATCAATGGGGAAGGACTGCAAAATGGAAATTAAAAACAATATGAAAAAGTACTATAAAGGAGATTTATTTATTTTTTAAAGAATGAAAGTGAAGTCAACTCAATCTATTCATTTTCTATTTCTGAAATCTCTCTAATTGTTTGGAAACTAGTACCTATCCCTCTTTAATATAGGCTGTTTAAACACTGGTCAACCACAATATTTATTTTTAAAAAGTTGTTCTTAAAACTGTAAAAAGCTTATAAATATATTTTCCATTGCACACATTTCCTGCAGCTATAGCAGTGGATTGATCTCTTGTTCAAAAAAAAAAAAAAAAAACTTGGCACTCTAAAAGCAGAACCTTATAATAATATCCTGACTTATGTTACAAGAAATTATTATTATAAAATACTGGTAGTCAGGCAGCCAAATCCTTAACTCAGGCAAACTCCGTCTGCTTCAAATGGGAGTTCTGCCTAAGTGAAAACTTAACAACAGCTTCAGGATTGGGTCAAATGATACACAAAAATGCTTTGGAGATCCTTTGATAGAATATGTGACAGAAGTTCAAAGGGTTTAATGCTCGTTAAGTAAGTCTCACAGCACCCCTGTGAGGTAGGTAGAATGGCTGGCTCAGGGATTGATAATGGCAAACACAGTCTTTCAACTCCAGTTCACGGGTTCAAATCCTGAAAATGTTCAGAAGGTCTGAAAGTTCATAGTTAACAGTCTTGCTTCTAATACTCAGGTTAGCAGAGACCCCTTTACAATAGGCACCACTGACAAATGGGGAAACTGAGGCGCAGACCAAGATTTGCCTCAGGCCTCCCCAAGAAGTCTGTGTTTTGTAAATGCATTTCAGCATCCAGTGGCCGTGGGACTAATTTACTCCAGGGCTCAACATATTTCCCTGACAAGTTCTATGCCGACGACTGAGTCTACTAGCATTAGTAGAAAATACCTGTACTAGCATAGCCCCTCAAACCCATGTTTCTATAGGATCACATTCTCATTCCTCCAAAATAAACCAACCCTTTCCCCATCTCCACTCACCTACCTTGGAGGCCCCCGCACTCTGAATTAATGCTTCCCACCTAACAGCAGATTGCAAGGCAGCCCCCTCTTCCAATTAAAACAATGAATATTGGGGTCGCCCAGGCTTAGTTTATTGGGGGCGGCACTAATTATTTAAATTTGTGGGTGCCCAGCATTGCTCAGTGGAGAGTTGCACATTAACAGTGTGCAGCCCCTACAATCAGTATATGCTGTATCCCCAGTAAGTTAGTGCTGGGGAGCCCCCTTTTCCTACAAGACATTTTATGCCGGGCCATCTCTCTATGCAGGGCTCTATTGCTGCTGCTAGTCCATTTGCCCTGCTCTCACACAGAAAGCTGCTGGCCTCCTCTCTTACTCCCAAAGAGAAGTAGTTTGGAGCTTGCTCTGCTCCTTGGCTTCCTCTCCTTTGTAAGGAGAAGCAGCTCTATCCATTCTGCTCACTGCCTTTCCTTTCCCCTCCCCTCCTCAATAACACTAGCCATGACTTCTCCACCCGTCCTCTCCAAGGAAGAAGGCAGTAACTTTCCAGCCCTAAGTTGCCCATTCACTGTGGACAAGTGGGTTTTGCAAGTGTTTTATATACTCTCGCACCAGAACTCTTGGAGTGGAAGAGCTGTTCACCCCTCTCTTGCTAATCATTAGCTCAGAAGCAATGTGCAGTAATAAGTGGCTCTTAATCCTACATGTGGTTACCCAGTTTCCCCTGCGGATCCCAGGAAGAAGTTAGGAGAACACTGTTCCCCAGAAGACATAGGACCCTGTGGTAGGTCTCAGTCCCTCCAAAAACTCCAAAGGTAAGAGGAGACTCAGGTCTGTGGAGAATGGACTCATACCCAATGACAAATGAATTTCCATGGACTGGAGTGCTGCCAACCCTCATTTGAGCCCAACAGCAAAGTGGGTTTGAAAAATGCCCTACTATAGGAGACATTTGTCTTCTGTTGAGGTAACACCCAGGAACTACAAAGCTATATCTTTTCATCATCCACATGAGTCAGCAACAAATATTAGTGCCAGGTGTATACATTCTGGGAGTGGTATAAACACATTTTGCAATCTATTTGCTAACTGCTTTAGCTATGAGTGGCAGTCCATGTAACTCATGAAAACCAAAATACATACAACACCCCTTAAAGACATATTCAAATATAATATATATATATTTTTACCTGCAGTCATCAAAGGTTGATCCAGGAGATGAAAGTGCAAGGCGCTTGCGTAACTCATCCCTCTCACGTGTAACCTGGCGGAGCTGGAATAAAATAGTCTCTAGTTTCTCATTCATCTGCCTTGTGTCTAAGACAGGTGGTGGGGATGATGCTTTGCCTGTCGTACCTAATAAGAATATAAATATTTGGATTAGATTGTCAGATAACTTCTCAAGACTTGAACAAATAATATATGTTCATTGTAATTAGCCAGGCTAAATGGATAAAAACCATGCATAAGAATTTTGTTTAAAAAAAAAACAAAAACACCCAAGCTGCAGTCCTGCATGCTGCCTCATGAGGCTCCAATGAATTCACTCAGACTGACAGGGTGCAGGGATCTGACAATGCAGACTGGTTTGTAAGATCGAGGCCCTTACATACTTGTCAACAGAGTCACCAACAAGTCAAGGTGCTAGAAGTGGAAGACATTTTATGGGAAATAAGTAGCAGCAGATAGAGAGGCCTTTGTCTACACTGGATATTTGTCCCAATTACAGACACTGGTTGCCAGCTCCTAGTGTGGCTTCAGTGTTGCAAATCCCTACTATGGGCAAAGCTGTTATTGACAATGGTGGAGCTTATTGCATGGATGAAACTGGAATAAGATCCATCAGTGCACGTAGCAGCTTTGCTAGTCTACACCGGGAACAACAATGCAGCTGCTTCAGAATTCCGCCCCGCTTTCCCCAACACACACACACACACACACCCTAACTATATACATTCACTGTTTTGCAAAGTATTACAATTGACTCTCTTTTTAAAATAACTTGACCTTTAGTTAACTATTTGCCACCACTGATGATGCAGGATAAGCCCAAAATAAAACATGGAAAACCTGAGACATTTTGAGACAGTCTCTCAAGCTTCACTAAGTCAGCTGCCAGGATAGAATCCATGCCCAAACATTGTGGATCAAGATGGTACAAAAATTCATGAAGACATTAAACTTCATGTAACAGCTTTGACATTCAAAAAGAATCTGGAATGTAATACCTGTACTGAGTGACAAAACAATTCAATACCCCTTGATACATCACAACAGATCAATCCAACACATTTGAAATATGCCTTTTTAAAAAAAAAATCAAAGGTACATATGAAAAGTATCTTGCATTACATTTTGAATATTATTTTCTAAAATGAGTTAATCACATATTTATCGAGCTGAATTACACGACAGTCTCCCGAATGGGTTGTCACACATGAGGTTTACGTGGCTGAATCACTGTTGTTGTTTTTTAAATTTCAGCAGTGACTAATGGTGCACATTCCCTCAGACAGCTATAAACATCCATTCATCAGGTCACTGTAAGAAGAGGTTAACTTCCAGCCAAGACTTGTTAATTTGAAGTATTTTGTTTCAAAACATCCTGGCATTAAATCCAGTTGTAATTTTAGTTCTGCCAGCTAACTGTCAGATTCTAATCTTAGATGCAGGTCACAGAACAGAAGTTATAATCTAGATCTATGCTGAGATTTGTAATTCTGTAATTTTCTAATGCAGTTTTCCACAAGGAAAAAAAAACCTGACAATTTGCCTGAGGTATAATTTTTTTAAAAAACAACATAAAGATGAAGGATTTTAAAGTGAAGCCTTGTTAAGATGTAATTTTATTATAATCACACCTGCTTTCATCTGAGGCTCTCAAAGCACACTACCAAGGTAGGTAGTTATCTCTATTTTAGGACAGGCAACCTGAGGCACAAGGATAGGTAACCTGAGGTTCAAAAATTTCAAAAATGTTACTGATTTTGGGTGCATTACTTGAGACATTAGATTTCCAAATTTTCAGAAGAGCTAACCACACATAATTTCAAATGAATCAACGGACTCCCAGTACTTCTTAAAATTATGCACAACGTCTCTCAGATAAGGCACACAAAAACTGAGGTTCCCAAAATCAACGGCAATTTGAAAATGTTGGTTTAGGGCAGTGGTTTTCAAACTGTGGTTCTCAGTGGGTTGTGGTGGATCTAGTCAGCAGTAAGTCATGGCAGATCTGGTCAGCACCACCAACTGTGCCATTTAAAGTCCCGTCGGCAGTGCTGCCTGGCTAAGGCAGGTTAATCCAGCAGCAGGTCCAGCTCCTAGGTGAGGGCAGCTCCACATGCTGTCCCTGCCCAGAGAACCGGCTCCGCACTCCCACTGGCCAGGAACCAGCCAATGGGAGCTCGGGGGCAGTGCCTGTGGGCAAGAGGTGTGTGGAGATGCTTGCGCGCCTCCACCTAAGAGCCAGACCTGCTGCTGGCCGCTTCCGGGATGCAGCGCAGTCCACAGTGCCAGGACAGGCAGGAAGCCTGCCTTTGCACCCACACTGCACTGCTGATGGGGAGCTGTCTGAGGTAAGCTCACGCCCCAAATCCCTGCCCCAGGCCTGAGCACCCCCCCAAACCCAGAGCCCCCGCCTCCATCCCAAACCCCTCATCACCAGCCCCACCCCAGAACCTGCACCCCCAGCCGAGACCTGACTCCCTCCTGCACCCCAACCCCCTGCCCCAACCCTGAGCCCCCTCCTGCACCCCAAGCCCCTCATCCCCAGCCCCACCACAGAGCCTGCACCTCCAGCCCAGAGCCCTAACCCCCTCCCGCACCCCAACCCCCTGCCCAGCCCAGAGCCCCCTCCCATACCCTGAACCCCTCATTCCGTCCCCACCCCGCAGCCCTCACCCCCACATCCTAACCCTCGACCCTGACCTCCTCCCACACCCCAAACCCCGCATCCCCAGCTCTGTTGGGTCGCAGGCATCAACAATTTTCTTCAACTGTGGCGCCAGAAAAAAAAAGTTTGAAAACCACTGGCTTAGGTGACTTACCCAACACAACATAAGAAACAGTTGAGAGCAGAATCAATACAGGCTTATACATAAAGAACAGTCCCTTTTGGTGTTCAGTAAGAAAGCCTGTACCTACCACAAGACAAACCATTAATTTAAAAAAAAAAAAGTGTAAGAAGAAATCCAATGCACTGTACGGTTTTGCTAGGTTAGAGATAATAAAAGGCAGATGTGTTTGGCTCGACATGAACCCACTGTGTCTTCTTTCTCTGATATTTTTAGGTTGGAGATTCAGAACCACATTATTTCCTAAGGTACACTCCCAACTCCTATTGATTTCAAGGCATTGAACAATCTAGATACCGAAGATAGCTGTGGCAGCATCTCTGCTGTCCCATAGTTTTACTTTATAAACTTTCCGAAGTTCTCCATGGTTTGCCTGTGGTACAGAGGCTACATATTCTAGGCCAGGCGTTCTCAAATTTCGTTGCACTACGATCCCCTTCTGAAAACAAAAATTACTACACGACCCCAAAAAGGGGGACCGAAGCCTAAGCCCGCCTGAGCCCTACCACCCTGAGTTGGGGAGAGCCAAAGCCTGAACCCCACTGCCCTGGGCAGGGGGACCAAAGCCAAAACCAATGGCTTCAGTCCCAGGCAGGGGGTCTGTAACTTGAGCACCGCTACCCAGTGCTGAAGTCCTCAGGCTTCAGCTTTGGCCCTAGAAGGTGGGGCTCGGGCTTCTGCCTCGGGCCCCAACAAATCTAACCCAGCCTTGGCAACCCCTTTAAAACATGGTCATGTCCCACTTTGGAGTTCCAGCCCACGGTTTGAGAACTGCTGCCCTAGGCAAATCGACTGAACTGAATGCATGTCATTGTGGCCCATATTCCTATACTGCTAGGACTTCACCCATTGTCCCTGTGTATTGAGTATCTGATCCCTTGTTCTTTGACTACCAGACAGCTACATCATGGGGAGTGGCAACGCAAGTAATATGCAAGTACCCGCTACATGGGTCATTCCAACTAGGTTTTTAAAATATTGTAATAAACCAGTCAACTAATTTCATTGGACTGTGAACTCTCTGAGGCAGAGATCACCCTTCTATTCTGTGGCCCAGATAGAGAAAGGTACCTAAATACATGTGTGACTTTACTACAGTGTGACAACTTACGCTTTGAATTATGCATAGAGAAGGAACTTCCTGGATCAGGGCCTACGTTTGTACAGCACCTTGCTCAATTGGGTTCCTGTTATTACTGGAGTGTCTAGATGTTAATGCCACTGCATATTTATTAATATACAGCTAGTTTTTCGGTCTAAATATTTCAGGTAACGATTTAGTATTATCACAACAAAAATGGAAGAACTAGTAACCACGAGAACTGTTCTGAAGTCAATCTAGGGCAGAAACAGACAATCTAATGAGCATTCAGTTTAGGGGTATCTTCAACCTGATTTGCAAATGAGCCTGCTTCATGTCCCTACCTCAACCCATAAGGTTCCCCCAATTCCTCTTCGATAAATTCACAGATGTCACCACTAAGTAAAATTAAGGCCCATCTCCTTGAGATGGTTTTTCCAATCCGATGAAAATTTCATCATTTTGGTGAAGATAACTACTCATACACAATATTTTTTTACTGGACCAACTTCTGTGATGGAAGGTGCAAGCGTCCAAGCTAAACAGAGCTCTACCTAAAAAACTTGTACTGTCCACCGGCAAAAGTTGGTCCAATAAAAGATATCTCACCAACCTTCTCTCTCATATCCTGGGACCAACATGGCTACAACAATACTGCAAACACATATAAAATAACAGTTGTAAACTACATGCACACTGATGGTTTGTAATACAAAGAAATGGTGGGGAACAGTATTTCAGGTTGGTGGTTTGCTTTAACTAGCAGCGGATACATACAATGATCTAGATGGGATAAATAGAGATAAGTAGGAAAGGAGGAAAAAAAAGATCAGGACCTATTTCTTCTTTGTAATTATGTGGACCTATGCTGAGAAGCAGCACTGTTTAATGGATAAGCACAGACCTAGAACAAACCTGCTCTGCTACTGACTTGCTGCATGGTTTTTAGGCAACTCACTCTTTCTACAGCAGCCTACATATCTGTCTCCACACTTGCACTGGAATATTAGAAGATCTATCTATCTACTATAATAATGTGATGGTCCTTGAACTGCTTGGTGACAAATGCTTACTCCAGAGGCGAAAAAAGGGAAAACCTGAGAGCTTGATGTTGATGAAAAGCCTGTTGGTCAAGAACAGTCCATCGTTAAGTTAACATTAACCCCTCTCCTACTTCCACAGCCAATTTTTGCTTCGGA